TATATATATTTGTATAGATGTTTGTATATATATGTGTATGTTTTTTATTTTGTATATATATTTATATTTTTATTTGTATATAGATATGAATATATATGTATATTTTTTTTTTGCTGTTTATTTATTTTATTTTAAATTTTTTAAAAAAAAATCGATTTTTTTCATATTTTTTCGGAATTTTTTTAAAAAATATTACGTGGCATGCTGATGTGGCAAAAAATCTATGTGGCGTGCCACGTCAGCGGTTAACAGACACTTAACACCGTTTTCAGATTGTGTAGGAAATTGCAGTTAAATTGGGTAGTTCGTGTATCGATTTGGCACATTTGATAATTTGGTGTAGTTTTTTGTCAAATTAAAAATTCGTGTAGGAAAAGGTCACATTTTACAAAATTGGTGTAGGAAAATGTCATTTTCCCATATATATACTATATTATTTATTTTCGTTCGATTTTATAAATCTGATGTCAAAATAATTAGCCACAAGATCAGTGCACATTTTCTCGGGTCGAGTTTTACTTTCCTCGTACATTTTCCACCCGTGATATATATATATTTATTAGGCTAAATCACACATCACGACAACTATATGCATCCGAAAAAATTATATCACCTGCGATAATTGTTTCGCTCTCTGTTTTGTAATTGTTTTTTTTTTCTTTGGGTAATTTCAAATGGACGGTAGAAAATGACAAAAAAAAAAGTAAAAAGAAAATTAAAAAACAGAGATTTTGTGATTTCGCCATCAAACTCAGTTGGGACCGCTGAATCTTATAATTTAAAAAATAATAATAATAACATAAAGAAAAAGTTTATGGTGAAAAACGCAAAGCTTTGGATTGCGACCGCGCTAAAACGGCGCCGTTGTTTGGTCGTTTATTTTCGGCACGAGGACACTTTTCTTTAGGTCATTGGTTGATATATCGATTTCGTTTGAAAATCCTTTTCCTACTATTTTTAAATATATTATTTTATTTCCATTGTCATTTCCCAAATTCAAAATGTAGAAATAGACACAAGGAAAAAAAATAGATAACACACTCTTAGATATTTTGAGAAGGCACGTTTATATATGGAATTGTGAAAAAGATTACTGTCACGGTCCTTATTTTAAAAAAAAACACGTGCATATATGGTATGGTCGACGACGGTCCACATATTCCGAATAATTAAACCTCTACATCAGAATCGAACACTGTTACAGCTTGCTTACTAAATAGACATATACATGCCTAGGCTTAAATTAAAATAAAATACATTTTTCAATCATTTAGAGGGATAAATATGAGATTGAATAATGATCTACCCCAGAATTTTGTAACATTTAGGGCTGGTGACTTTATTTAAAAAAATAAGAAGATTACCGAGTAAGCAGTGATCTAAATATGATAGATTAATAACGTGTATATATGTGTGGACCTAATCTTGGTTATAAAATTAAATTATTTGACATTCTTCCACGTTTTACAAATTTAAATTAGTTTTGAAAATACGGTGCTACGATTGGAGAATACGAAAAATAATTCATTTGAAACAATTAGTTATTATTCAATTTATAAAATAACACTTTTGTTTATCTCAAAAGAATACCTTTTTTAACAAAATAAATAAATACTGTTTTATAGAGTTGACGAGATTAAAATACTCATTTTCATCATAAAATAGAATTCAAACTGTTATTTTACATTCAATTTTTCAGAATAAAAAGGCCACTGTTTATAGTTTCCAATTACTGTTTTGATGAGTCTATTGTCTGTAATTGGCGATCGAAATGCTTTTCTTTTATTTGTTGTTTAAAAAGAAAAAAGTTAATTACGAATAATCAAGTTTCATAGCCTAATGAGATAGTTAATTACGAATAAATCCGTTTAATGTATTTAATTCATAATCACGAAGAATCCGTTTATGAGATGTATTGGTTAAGGTGAATGAGCATTAATCTTCAATGTGCTGCATATTTAATTCGTAATTGTATTTTAGATTGTTTGTGTATGGGAATATGTTTAATTTAATAACAAAGAGAAATCAGAATGCTTACATATATATACACACGTAAAAGATTCTGTAAATTTATAATTTCATATCCGAAACCCATCACGCTGATCAATATATAATACGATTATATGTATATATATGGTTGTATGCACTCACCAAAATAAGTAGGATAATAAAATAAATGAGAATTATTCCGGTATATAGGCGGAATATTACATAGAGGATTTTTTTTAATATTATTATTTGTGTGGGTGATGTGATTTTGTGACACTCATGTCTGAAAATAAGTCAATCCAGCTGCGAACTGAACTGTTTTGAGAAAGGAGTTCGAACACGTGAAACACGTGACCAAATTCCCCCCCGAAAAAAAAAAATATTAACACAGAGAAAGAAAGATGGTCGGATAACAAGTGTGTTTACGGTTTTCTTCCAGCTCGTTGGTTTTATTTCGTTGGATCTATTTGAATTTCGGCTCCAAATTATCCACGTGCTCTTATGATCACTGACTTCTACGCGCACGCACACAAAAGTGTTTTTTTTTTTTGTATAAGGTGAACCTATCCATTAAATCAAAATAGAGGTTCCTTTACAAAAATCCAGCCGAAACCGTACAAATAGGATAACCATGTCACAAATCAAAATGTGGAACGTGTCGTGCGTGTCCCTTATAGGAAGATATTATTCTTAGAATATTATCATTAATATTGTTATGATTTACCCTAGATATTATGCCTAGAATATATATAGGAAGATATTATTCTTAGAATATTATCATATATATATATAGGAAGATATTATGCCTAGAATATTCTATTATATTTTGCTATATATTATGATGTATTCTTCCCATTATCAATAATAGAAAAACATTTTGCCTATTATGGTATCAGAGCTTCGGGTTTTGCTCTAATTTTTTTTCTTATTCTCATCAACAATGTCGGTCGAATCCGAAAGTGACGATGAAGATGACAACGATGTACTGAATCCAATAGTATCATCGTCTTGAGTATCGTTTTAAATTTATTTTGCTCTTTTTTTTCTTCTATTTTTTTCCCCGACGGCGGTGTTCATGACCGTCAACCCTAGCCGATGTGCTATTTTTTTTTCTCTGACGACGTTCGTTTATCGACGTCAACCCTAAAGACGGCTTTCTTTTATCGACGTCAACCCTAACCGTTGTAAGCTCTTTAAACATGGCTATTAGCCTCTTTCGATTGGAAAACTCTGATCGTCGATCCACGTATTTGCGTCACTTATTTTTATTTTCTTCTCTTATCCTACTGCTAGACTATCACGCATTATGCGTCGCGTTTTTGCGTCCATTTTTTTTTCTTCTTTTCTCCGGCCTAGCCGCTATACACACCGCAATTTTTTTTCGCTGCCGACCTCATTGTCGCGCAACCCAACTCGCGCATATGCGCCGTACATCCGTGCCACATCAGCCTCTGAGAATACAACTCTCAAGCTCTTCAAACGTTATCAAGCAACACCAACTCAAGTCTGGACTACCCCACCACATGGAAGATGATTCGTTTAATACGATCACAATTTCAGTTTTCAGTTTTTATGTAATAAGATTGAATTCATCATAGATGATTCATCTTGAGGGGGCATATAGGAAGATATTATTCTTAGAATATTATCATTAATATTGTTATGATTTACCCTAGATATTATGCCTAGAATATTCTATTATGTTTTGCTATATATTATGATGTATTATTCTCATTATCAATAATAGAAAAATATTTTGCCTATTATCTCTAACGTGGGTGCGTTCGGATAATCTCCGAGAAAGAAAACCAATCCTCTAGAGTGGAACCGTTGTTGCCGTTACGCGGCCTAGTAACGGAAATCAAGATCATGTTACGCAACGTTCGATCAACCCGCATCTGAATCACATCACTCGTTGTCTGAACCGATCGAAAGATTCTATCATTCCGTTCCTTCTAGATTTTGTAAACCGTAATATGCAAAATCAATCTGCCTAGAAGTGGCTTGCTAAGGCTCGTGTCCAAGGCTCGATCAGTCATCCATTCCATACATTGGAATACACTCGACGACGGAGATGGTCATATCAAACTCTCAATTGTCAACCATATCCTTGAGCTAAATTAACTCGTATTCAAAAAATAAGTGTTGGTGCGTTTCCGATCCTCTTTGACAAAGTACACATGTAGGGTCGACGTGAATTCCCCATCGAATAAGTCTATCATTAGTCGACAATCTCAACAACATAATCTCCCATATCAAGAAAGAAAATCTAGGCATATGATTATTAAACCATACAATATCATACCACGATACCTCAGGGTGGTGCTGCCGAATAAGCTACCAATTGTTGGAGTTTGAAAACCAATGCTTATGTGCACTTCATCCGTATGCTTCCACAATGGTTTATCCGAACCTTTGTCATCATTCGGGATGGGGGCAGTAGTTAGAGCCGTGAGGATGATTTGTATGTCTTGCGATCTTGCTCCGCCCACTGTCCAATTTCTTTAAAAAATCGCTGCTCGAACATTGTTGTCCTGCGGAATCTGGAGCAATCTCGACCCTAAGGGTCCTGCAACATCAATGAGCAGTCGAGAACCCAGCCAACAGTCGTACCAAAAATAAGCCATTTTACCGTCTCCAACCTCGTACTGCAAAAAATGTTTCACCGTGTCACGAAAGGCTAACAATTTGCGGAGGTTTCCATGAGTGCGTAGGTGAACAACATCCCAATGCCCTTTTTGCTTCCAAATATTCCGGAACAAGCAAATCAGACCAAAGGGAATCAGACTTTGGTGGTGTATAGTGTTACTTTCTATATGGTTTTGATTTGTTCGTACAAATCCTTGCAATGGCTTTATTGTAATTTTTATGTGTAATGATGTTTTCAATATCTGCTCCGACCAATTTTTCTTATTCGTAGAAAATCATGCGTATTTTTTTTGGTAATTTCGTACCGGTATTAATTATACGATCGTTTTATCATTATTTGATTTTGTATGAAATACTTTTTAGGTGCTAAATTAAAATGATTAAAAAATTAATGTTTTCGACGCGAGATGGTATTGACTATAACGACATACTATTGCATTAAAAGGACAATGTTTTAGTAAGACCTACTTAATACACTAGGCGTATTCAACCAGTATTGATTTTTCATATATACGTATATTCAGATTTTGAAAAAGTTATTATGAAAAATCAATAATATCTAATGTTAGCTTAATGTGGTAACATTAAAATATCTTTAATGTGGTAATAAATGATCAGTAAGTATATGATAAGATAATTATCATTAAAATTTTGTCCTAGTTTTCCACGCCGTGTCGTATATTTTGCGTGTGTTCTCTTTTGGAATTTAAGCACGTGCGCCCCCCCCTGTCGACATCCACAGTATCAGATCGTGTTCCTCTCTTCTTCCTTGTGGTGTTGTGTTGCGTCGACATGACTCCCAACCACATGTGTTTCCATTTCTTTTTACACGAAAAAATATAATAATATTCCGAATTAAAATTTTTAATCTTATTCAGAAACTCATATTCTGCTCTCCCTCCAAAGGCGTGAGAGATAAAATTGGGGAATATGATTAACAATTTTTTTTCGTATTTTTTTTTCCTTTCATTCAATATTTTTATGCAACATTTGATTTAAATTTATTCCGAATAGAGATAAATTCATTTTTGTTTCACCACGTGTAATTACCGAATTTCTCTCTTATAATGCGTGCGTCAGAGAATAGAGATAAATCAAATAGTACTCGGATTCTTATTAGAGATTGAGTATGAGAAGTAATTTCCCGCATTTCCCTTTTTGGACCTACGGTCGGTCCGGCTATATATACACACACCCTCTCCCTCTCCCGCCACATATCACAAACACGAAGAAAAAAAAAATTACATTCAAACCCCAAACGGCCCAAATCAAGAAAAAAAAAATGGTGTTTGCATCTCTCATCTTTCTCCTTCTAGGGTTCGTCGTTTCCATCATCTTCTCCGCAAACAAAGCTCAAGAATCCACGCATGGACCCACATCGTATCCAATCATTGGCTGCTTAATCTCTTTCTACTCAAACCGACGGCGTCTCCTCCAATGGTACACCGATCTTCTCTCCCTCTCTCCGTCGCAGACAATCTCCCTCCGCCGCCTCGGCGGCGGCCGCACCGTCGTGACTGCGAATCCCGACAACGTCGAACACATCCTCAAGACAAACTTCATCAACTTCCCCAAAGGCAAGCCCTTCACCGACCTCCTCGGCGATCTCCTCGGCGGCGGCATTTTCAACTCCGACGGCGACCAGTGGGCCACCCAACGCAAGCTCGCGAGCCATGAGTTCACCACTCGCTCCCTCCGTGAGTTCGGGTTCGAAGCCCTCCGAGACGAGGTCGAGACCCGCCTCGTCCCTACCCTCTCATCCGCCGCAGCCGCCGGAGAGGCGGTGGACCTGCAGGAGATTCTCAAACGGTTCGCATTCGACGTGGTTTGTAAGTTCTCGTTGGGTACCGACCCGAATTGCTTGGATCTAACCCGGCCAGTTTCGCCTATAGTCGAGGCCTTCGACGCGGCAGCTGAGATCAGCGCCCGACGGGCGACGGAGCCTGTCTACGCCGTGTGGAAGGTTAAGCGTTTGTTGAACGTTGGGAGCGAGAGGAGGCTGAGGGAAGCGATCAGGACGGTACACGTGTCAGTCTCTGAGATCATCAGGGCGAAGAAGAAGAGCTTGGAGATCGGGACCGGCAACGTCGAGGCAAAGCAAGATCTCTTATCGAGGTCCCCCGCCGCCGGTAACGACGGAGACGCCGCGAGGGATATGGTTATCAGCTTCATTATGGCGGGAAGGGACACGACGTCGGCGGCGATGACGTGGCTCTTCTGGTTGCTGACGCAAAACGACGTCGCCGAGAGGAAGATACGTGAGGAAGTGGCCTCGTTGAAGAGAGAGAAAGACGGAGAATTAGGGTTAGGGTTTGAGGGTTTGAAAGCGATGAGTTATACTAAAGCTTGTCTCTGTGAAGCCATGCGGCTTTACCCTCCCGTGGCGTGGGACTCGAAGCATGCAGCCAACGATGACGTTTTGCCGGACGGGACACGTGTCAAGAGGGGAGACAAGGTAACGTATTTTCCGTACGGTATGGGTAGGATGGAGAAGCTGTGGGGGAAGGACTGGGACGAGTTTAAACCAGACCGGTGGTTGACGGACGAACCGGACAACGGTACGAGGCCGGTTCTGAAGAGTGTTAGCCCGTTCAAGTTCCCGGTTTTCCAGGCCGGTCAGAGGGTTTGCCTAGGGAAGGAGATGGCCTTTATGCAGATGAAGTATGTGATCGGTTCGGTTTTGAGCCGGTTTGAGATTGTACCGGTTTGCAAGGACCAGCCGGTTTTTGTTCCTCTATTGACGGCTCACATGGCGGGTGGGTTCAAAATTAAGATTAAGAGGAGAACGAATCAGTAGAACCATGCGATTACTGATGTCACATTTTAAATTGTTATGTCACGTATAATATAATGTATGAACAGATTTGCAAAACTAAAGTGTATATCGGTTTGCGAATAGTATTAGACACTCGTTTAAAATAAAGTTGCTAAGATTTGTTAAAATACTTTGCTATACTTTGTGGACTTTCACTATAAATCGAAAAACTATATCGTAAAAATAAAATTGCTAAGATTTGTTAAAATAATTTTCCGTCCATGAATGCTACGCATATCCATTGAAATCTTGAGATTGGTTGCATGTCTTATCCATCTGGACACCCAACAGATCACACATGGGCACGCATAGTCATATACATATTATATATATATATATATGCATAGCATGGTATATAATAAATAGTCCGAATTACGTATGGGCACATAGATATAATTGCGGGAAAGCGACAGACATATATTATATATATACAATATATATGATGCGAAGCGATAGGTCAAACCGACGGATCCGAAAATAAAGTCTCATCTTCCATTGCAATCAAGTCTATTTTTTGCTCATCCGTCATATATAATGTGTATATATATATATATATATACATGCGTCTATATAATGTGCAGTGCCGTAGCAATTGGTGAGATTCCATTAGGTGAGGTTCGATTAGATGTCTAACGCGTTAACGTTGATAAAATGTTGTTGAATTGATTTTGACCTCAAATATTTGAGGGTCATATATTATACAAAAAATTCTGGCCATTTAACTTTTGATTAAATATTATATATATATATATATATTTTATGTTTTAGATTATATTTTTAAAAATATTTTTTATGTAAAAACTATGGTGAAATTTTTAGATCAACGAGTTTTGATTTTGATTGTTAAAAATGCTTATTTATAAAGAAATTATCATTTTTTTCGATTATTTTATATTCGGTTTAAATTTATTTTGCCAATGTTTAAAATACAAAAAAAATTCAATTAAATTACGCTTACATTATATTCGGCTGGGATCGGTTGGGCTTATGTATAACCGAACCGAAAACCAACCGAATAAATTATGAATAAGAGGAAAATCGGCAGATATTATTTAGTTGAGTATTGCGTATAGGCAGAAAAGTAATATCAAACTTTAAAAACAATGCGAACAATCTTGAGATAACAAAAAAAAACAAAAAGAAATAAGAAAAAGGAAAATGATAATATAAAACAAGAACAGGAGAATGAAACAGGCATGGTTATGGAACCAGAGACAAAGCAACAGCTTTGCTTTCTGCCTGGTTTATGGGTGTACGGCCTCGAGAAGCTTCTCGTACACTTGCCGAGCAGACAAATCTTCCACCTGTTTTACAAATATTCCAAAAGACAGAGATAAACCCAAATGGGTTGTTACTTGTTACACAAACGCATAAACAAAGATCCGAGGAAGAAAAATCATTCAGAGTTTATCATACCCTTCACTAAATGCAATCTTTGTGAAGGGTTCTACAACAGAGTTGCAGCCTTTCTTATGCTTTTATGGATCAAGAGATAGAGATGGAAGGACATCATACCACAAGAAGTTTCGATTTGCTGTTCCATCCCCTTTGGAGTGTCATCTGGCTCAACCTTAGACCCAACACCTTAGGAGATTAAAACACAGATATGATGATCGAGTTAAGGGATTGGAGGCTCAGTATTTCAGGAGAGAAGTTTAGAAGCGGATATGGACAGTAAAACATACCCTGCCCATGAATTCCAGAAGCTCGTTATTAGCTTCGCCACGAGCTGCTGGTGCTGCAACGGTTACACGTACATCGTCAGCATTGACCCCTGCGAAAAACGAAAGGAACCATAACATTTCAGCAAGCAATATTCGGTTTGTATAATACCAATATCAAGGATCCATGCCCGGTGACAGGGAATGATGGCAATGATTTCAGAATTCAGATGAATGCTAAAAATTAAACGCAGCTAAGTTGTCATCACATGAACACATTACTTGTGATTGCCGAACGCTGAGCACGGTCTTCCACTTCAATGGCTATCTGAACAAGCCCACCTTCGAGCTGTGAAATGCAGGGAGGTACTGGTGCATCCTATATTATGTACCAGAAATGACATTGTTCAATACTGCTTTAGTTTTGTTTGGAACAGTAAGTAGTTTGCAGGAAAACAGAGCAGGAGATCATGTTTATATGCTTCTCGCGCGAGGCAGATAGTATTTGCGTGTTGAGGCATGTTGTGCAGGGTTTTATTCCCAAAATAATAAAAAAATTAATATAGGAAATATATACATAACTTGAAAATAGATATGTCACCAAGATTAGCTTTTGAGAATATAGAAGCAATCAATCCAAATATCAATCACTCAAGTGTCAAATATCAATTGCGGGAAATAATCGATTTGCACCTGTGGGTTAGTTTCTGCAGCGACAGCACTAAGTGCTCCCTCGACAATGTAGACGAATGAAGCTGTTTCAAGGCTCTCTTCAGCACGATAGCACACAAAAAGATCGCAGCTGATACAGTTCATTCTGAACTGTTTCTCCATCTTCCCTTCACCACTGGCAACGAGTTGAACATAATGAGAAACACAGAAAGACAATCTTACAAAGATCTAAGTTCTAACAGTGAATTATATTCTCAAAACTGAAGATTACTATAGTAACCCATTATTAAGTCTATCAAATACAGTATTTGGAGCTCATTGAACATACCGCTTTAATAGAACTTTCCCACCCTCGTTGACATTTAACCTCGCGAGGTGCTTCTTCTTGTCGAGCACATTAGCTCTGTCGGTCTTCCTCTTCGGCATCTTTTGCAACTGGGTATCTTATAACAAATATAATTTAGCATATAAACATTCAGAAAGATATCATAAAGTTCATTCATATACTCGTGTGTATCCTATATCTTCACTGATACTCGCATACGAGAAGAACCCAGAATCGAAAAACTTAAAATTGTTTTCCTATCCAGTGAGAAACATTTCAAGACACTGCCTGTAGCCTCACAAACATTAAAGAACATCTGTAATTTACAAGTTAGTCAAAGCAAATTGGTTCTCAAGCCAAAATTAATGCAATATTTAGGAGAACAAGAATATCTGATATAGCAAATGAAGCTGTTTACCATAAGAACTACATTACCAATTAGCGAAACACTCACCCATCCTTTGCGCCCAAAACGATCCTAAAACAAACCGGATCTAATGAAACCCCAAATTCTGATCCTAAACCCATTCAACAAACGCCCTAATTCAACTCAAATCATAGAGGAACAAGAGAGTATCAAATTACTCCAATTGGGCACCTAAAATATCCAGAAAAAGAGTGAAACAGAGAGCAAAATCATCCAAAAAACCAGTTAAAGGATATCAGCAGCTACAGAATCGCAGAGACCGAACCACTGAAGAACCAAACATATATATAGAGAGAGAGAGAGCGACAAAGACACGAACCTGTGATGAGAACATGAGAACCACAGTGCTTGCAGTAGTAAACGAAAAGATCGGAGTCGGGTCCGTCAGGCGCCGCGTCCTCGCTCGAGTAAGTGTGCGTCGTTCTCTTCGGCATTTTCTTTCTCTTCTCCCTCTCTCTGGATTCGAGGCTTTGTTCGGAATCGATAAATGGTCGTCAAGACATCTTTTGAAGACACTTCATCATAAACCAAATTCCCGGTTAGCGATCCGGTTTAGTTCAATTCAGTCGAACCGAGCCTGAACCGCCTATATGGGTCTTTCGGCCCAGATATCGTCAGGCCCACACATATGGATCTGTTTCTGCTCTGTTGATTTTGTCTTTTGTGGTAATAAAACTGCTCTTCTAGGTTATTATCCTTTTTTCCCATTAATTTTCTATTTAAAGTTTCTACAAAATTATATTCTTAAATTTTTTAAAATTAAATTCAACTATGATTTAAATTTTATTTATTTTTTATTAATCAATTTTTCAGTAGTTTGAATTCATTTTGAACAAATTTTATTGAAATAATCCAATAAATTTTACTAGGATATCCATATTAAATTTTATTTTTCATATAAAATTTGAAAATTATTAGGATATTCATTTTGAATTTTGGTCCGGGTTTGGTTATGTTTGGATTCGTTTATTTCAATTTTAAAAAACTATTTGTTTTTTATATTGAATTTGATTAGATTCATTTCAATTCGTATTTGGTTCTCACACTATTTATTTTTAAAAAATATTTATTTTCAAAAAATTATGGATATTTTGGATTTTTTATTCGATTCGATTAACATTCAGTTCTTCAAATTTAAAAAAAGAACATTCATTTTTTGCATCATATTCAATTCAATTCAATTATGATTATATATTATTAAGTTTAGATGGATTGAATCATTCAATTGTTAATCAAATCACTAATTTTATCTTTAAAACTTAATTACCTCCCATTGGTTTGGTTCGGTCCCGTGAGATTTTCAACTAAAAACTCAAATCTTGTCCGGCGTAAATCAAGTTTTTAAAAGGGATAAAATGGTCAATTAACGAAACCCGACCCGACTCATAGAACCCAATCCCAAATACGTGAGAATCCGACCGGGTTACTGTTTTATCTGTAAGACGAAACCCCCTCAAGAAGCGTAATACATAATCGAGACAAGACGAGCGGCGAAGTTAAAGATCAAACGACAATGGCGAGCGGCGGAGCTTCGGTGGACTTGGAAGATGTTCAGACGGTGGATCTCATGTCGGAGCTTCTCTGCCGCCTTAAATGCGCGCCTAAGCCCGACAAACGTCTCATCTTCATCGGTATGACGTCATTTGCTAACCTGTTTCCGCAACGACTGCGTCTGCATTTGACTCGCAACGTTTCGGATCCGTGATTTGGTTCTGTACTGATTAACTTTCGGTGGTATTTATGGTGAAATTTGGAATTTGGCTGAGGGATATTTTAGATCTGAGGATTTGATGGTGTTTATTTGATGTTTTGCGAGAAAACGACTAGATTTTTGTTGTTTTGTGTTGATATCAGACACCGGGTTTTGTCCATTTTTGGGTTTTCTCGTTTCCTGGTTCTTTAGGTGACTTAAAATTCAGACTTATCAGTTTCGCAGGAGATTTCAGTATCTCTGAGACTGAACTCAGATTCATGTTGTTTCATATTGTCTGAAGGATGTTAAATATTAAGTACTTTTCTTGCCAATTGGTTGGTTTTGTGTTCTGACTGAGACTTTTTAGACATAACAGTAGCAACTATGGAGTTTACTGTGGGCAAAGGTCGTAGGATTTTTGTTACTTGATTAGAAACGGTGTTTACAAATATGGTGCTGGTCTCGAGTTTTGGTTTCTCGTTTTCTTATCAAGGTTCAAAAGATCGTTCCTTTTTTCCACTCGATTTCGGGTTTATTTATTGTTTGTTCAGCTTTTATGTATTGTTGTGCTTTGTTTGCTGCTGAATGTGTTATCTTTATCTTGCACATACTTCTCATGATGTTTTGGTATTCGAAATGACTAGAGTGTGTACTATTTGCAGGTCCCCCTGGGTCGGGGAAAGGTACTTAATCTCCGGTAATCAAGGATGAATTTTGTCTCTGTCACTTATCCACCGGGGACATGTTAAGAGCTGCTGTGGCTGCTAAGACCCCTCTCGGTGTGAATGCTAAAGAAGCTATGAACAAGGTCGGTTCCCTTTTATATTTGTCCTGTTTGATTGAGTGCCGTGACATGACATTTTGGTTGGTTCACTTATGGAGCTATTGTTTTCCAGGGCGAGCTTGTTTCTGATGACTTGGTGGTTGGTATAATTGACGAAGCCACGAACCAGCCTAGATGTCAAAAAAGGTTTATCCTTGATGGGTTTCCCAGGACTGTGACTCAGGCGGAGAAGGTGTTGTTCGAGAGAAAGTTGGAATTTTGTTCGGTTTCTCTTTCTGTGTGCTGTAATGTTATGGTGGGTTTGTTATTTATTTGCAGCTGGATGAGATGCTTACCAAACTGGGAGTTAATATCGAGAAAGTGCTGAACTTTGCTATCGATGATTCAGTCTTGGAGGAAAGAATTACCGGGAGATGGATCCACCCATCTAGTGGCAGAACTTATCACACAAAATTCGCACCTCCCAAAGTCCCTGGATACGATGATGTAAGGCTAGACATATATAAACTCTACTGTTAGATGTGTTGTTTTCCTAAAGATAGATTCTTGTCAAGTATATAGATCATGTAACTAGGGCAACCCGGTTGAATCTGAGTCCCGTAAGCTTTTTTGGATGTCCTCTTTCTAAGTTTAAAAGACGAATCTTATTTTGTTAATACATGTCGGCATCACCAAAATGATATGCAATTAGGTTAGAATTATTACATAAGAAGCAAAATGGTATAATACGTACGACTATATGGGAACTTGAGGTAGCTTTATCAGTTTTTCTTGCCTGTTATAGATAATGATATACGTAAAAAGTCGGTATGTTTTGCATAAAAAAAATCGAGGGAGATTATTCTCATTGTTCACATTAGATTCAGGCATGCATATTCTTTATAGTTTGATTCAGTTCCATGTTTATCCTCTTTCAATTTCAGTCTTATTAGTTAAATCCATTTTTTTTTCTACTCATTGAAGGTTACTGGAGAGCCATTGATTCAACGGAAGGATGATAATGCTGAGGTTCTGAGGTCAAGGCTGGCGGCTTTTCACAGGCAAACCGAACCGGTACTATCCCGAGTTCTATACCGAGAAAGATGAATCGAAATCTGTCTCGGGTTTCTCTTCCCCGAATTGACAAATTCTTCGGTGTGCTTCTTTTGCCATTCACAGGTGATCGACTACTATGCAAAGAAGGGAAGTCTCACGAACATCCACGCGGAGAAGCCTCGCCAGGAAGTTACATCCGAGGTTCAAAAGGCAGTCTCCTCGTGATCGTGATCGAAGAATCTTGATCTTTAGTTCGTCGGTATGATTGATTCTTTTTTTTTTTACAATTTATATATCCTGGATTTGCAGATTGGCGGTTTTTTTGCTCCCGTTTTCGCCTTTTCGGTAAATTTAGGCCGAGAATAATCTTTTACCATCAGTTTAAAAGTTCAAAGACGTTCTTTGTTTTTTGCTGCCTCTCCTAAAAGAGGGAGTTCTCCGTTCTCTTTTCTTATCGTCTTCGTGGTCCTCCATTTTTCTCTATCCCCGAATCTAGACGACGGCTCTGGAGCCGTCATCGTTCCGTTGCTTGGTAAGGGGATATAGATCATATGTGGGACACATGATGTTTATAATGCCAAACAAAAAAGGGCAATACTCTCTAGAATGGAAGATTTCTCGGTTTCCGACTCCGACCACAACCAGAAACTTCATCTCAAGCCCTATGGCCGACCCGAGCAACGAAAGCGTCGGTAAGGTTGTGGCGCGGCGGCTTACCCTTTCCTAGAATGTATATGCCGTGGGGATGTGCACCGGTGGTGTCCCGAGTTTTTTGAATTACCGAACCCCGAATGTTTTGGATCGCACGAGATATTGTTCGATTTTAGAATTGTTTAGGCCGGAGATCCACAAGTCGGGTGTTCAAAAGTTGAGGTTCGAATACATAATTTTATTTTATTTTATTTTTTAAAAATATGTAGTGATGTTGGTTAAAATTCTTAGATTATCCGAATCTAAAAATTAAATATTGAATATTTCAACAAAAATACCATCTAATTATGTGTAATTTATTTAAAACGTAAAAGAAAAAATGTGATTTTATTTTTATAACCATCGTATCCGAAATTCAGGTATTTGTTTGGCGATACGAGAAGCACAGCAGCTCTCTATTAGTTTCGTCTATTTTCGATCCCCGTGCAGTTGTACTGAACGTCCCACATAATTTAGGCTAGGGTTTTTGTGGAGAGGTCCAGCCTCCAATAAGATTCTGACACGTAGTATGAGGTAATGGGATGTGAGCCGTTGGATCAGTCAACCACGTGTCTACCGTCAAAAATTTAAAAATCCAAGGGTTATGATTTCGGGTAACGGCCTAGATGCTCTAAAAACTATCGAACGGCTATAATGTGTTCACAACACCTTATTACAGTACAGATGCAAACACCTTATAAAAACCAAGACAATTTTCAGAAAATGGAAAAATATGTGGGCAGCGGCAGCCGACCTTGTTGACCGAGTTTGCGCGTATAAAGGAAAGGAAATGCAGTGAAAGAAAAAACGCGTATTGCTTTCTCGAGACGAAGAGATAAGATTCGCGAGGTTGTCCGTTGGGAGATCAGATCTGCTCTGGTGATAGATCTCTTCCGCCTCCGGTTTCTTTCTTTCCGTCCGGTAAGAGCTTCCGATACCTGTGCGTGATCGAAGAGAGAAGGGCGAAATATTGCGTCCTGGAATTGAATTCTAGGGTTTCGTTTTTCGTGTTCCTGTTTTTCCTTATCTGATCTGATTTCTTCAGAGATTCTCTTTTCTGGTTGATTGGTTGTGTGTCGGTTCGATATTTGTGCGATAATCGAAACTATCGTACTCGAATCTGTTGATTGTGTTTTGATTCTCTGGGGTTCTCCTAGGGTTTCGATAATTTGGGGGATTTTCTCGCGTGTGGTTTTATCGCGCTTTTCTCGATTGCTACGTTCGATTGTTCATTGAGTCGTGTTCTGGTTATTAATACGATGGCGGCAGGGGGAGTTGATGTCTCCAGAAGGTCTGTTGTTGTTGATCACGCTAAAAAAGGCTATGAAAGTTACAGGAATGGTTCTCGTGATTTGTATCCAAGCCAAGGCGGTAGGCTTGGTGAGAGACGTCAAATCAGGCGATCCTTTGCGCATGACCGAAAGAGGAAGGATTTGCGCCTGGAATTGGCGGAGGAACCAGGCCTGGTTTCTGAGAGAGGTGAAGCTCGAGCGGAGGGTGTTCAGCAGCCCCCTGAGAAGAGGGGAAAATATTCTCCTGTCATATGGGATGCAGAAGACAAGGTGATCGCAGTTCAACCTAGGAAGACAGTTAAACTTGCTTCAGCTAGCCTGTCAGCGGATTCTCTGGCGATATTACAGCCCATTGAAGCACAACTGTCTGTACAAGATCCTATTGATGATCTTGAGGAAGGTCAGTTGGAGGAGGAGGTTCAGGCACCGAATATTTCTAAGTCTAGATGGGCATGGGGTTTGGATTCTCCAAAGGTCGTCTCTGTATCCGAGGTTGAAAATGTTCCGAAGACTAGCAAATGGAATAGGAGCAGTTTGACTCCTGAATGCGAGGAATTCGTATTGGAGGAATCTGAAGAACAGAGGTCCCGATCATCTGGGTGTGGCGGTGGACGTCTCAGCACAGAACGGCTTAGCGGTCATGAATGTTCTGATTACGAGTTGGAGAGTCATAGCCATATGGATATTGATGAAGCACAATGTTACAGTTCTGACCTTAACAAGTTGGAGAATGAAGAGCCAGCTTCCCCTGCTGAGGGAAGCACGGACATGCTGCTCGGTAGCAGAAATGTCGACGAATATGAGAAGCTTAACAAGATAAACGAGGGGACATATGGAGTTGTATACAGAGCTAGGGACAAGAAAACAGGAGATATTGTGGCTCTTAAAAAGATCAAGATGAACATGGGTAGGGAAGTTGAATATGGATTTCCTGTGACGTCTTTGAGGGAAATTAACATACTTCTGTCTTGCAACCATCCTTCAATCGTGAATGTCAAGGAGGTTGTGGTGGGGAACAATGATAACGTTTTTATGGTCATGGAACATTTAGAACATGATCTAAGGGGCTTAATGGATCGGATGAAGCAGCCTTTCAGCACTAGTGAGGTGAAATGCCTGATGGTACAACTGTTGGAGGGTGTGAAATATCTCCATAGTAATTGGATTATTCATAGGGACCTTAAGCCATCAAATCTTCTAATGAACAACAGTGGGGAGATGAAGATCTGTGACTTTGGCATGGCTCGCCAATATGGGAGCCCACTCAAGCCTTACACCCAGTTGGTTGTTACACAATGGTACAGGTGAGGAATCTTCATGATATCAACTCTTTTAAATCTTTAGTGTTTAAGCTTTGAATGTCAACAAAGGATGTGCCAGTTGATTAGTGTTTTCATGTTTGCTTTGCAGGGCCCCTGAACTTCTTCTGGGAGCGAAAAAGTACTCTACAGCTGTTGATATGTGGTCAGTCGGTTGCATTATGGCTGAACTGTTGTCTAGAAATCCTCTTTTCCAGGGAAAAGGTGGAAGTGATATCGACCAGCTTCGCAAGGTAATCATGGGTTTCTTGGACTTCTACCTGTTCTGTTTCCCTGTATGAGTTTTTCTTCCCCATACTAATTGTGCCTTAACTTCTGCAGATCTTTGCGATCCTCGGTTCACCAAGTGAGACAACCTGGCCTGGATTTTCTTCGTTGCCTGGTGCTAAAGCAAATTTTATTAACCAGCCGTGAGTACTCTTTTGCAATGATGTTGTCTGTCTGCATATATGGGGTTGATGTTCAGCATTTGCTCATCCTTTTTTTTATGCAGGTACAATTTGTTGCGTAAGAAGTTCCCTGCTGCATCTTTCACTGGATCTCCAGTACTTTCTGATCTGGGATTTGATTTACTGAACAGATTACTAAGTTGTGACCCTGAGAAGGTAAAATTTATTCAATGTCCAGTCAGTGACTCCTTGCACTGCAATTTTGTGCTTCAATTTTGTGCTTATGGAAGTTCTTTCTTTGCAGCGTTTAACTGTAGATGAGGCTCTTAACCATGATTGGTTTCAGGAAGTTCCTCTGCCGAAATCCAAAGAATTCATGCCAACTTTTCCTCCAAAGCGTGGCTGAGCGATCATCTTTTGGAGGATCTCAAGTACTATATGGCTGAAGGAAGCCACCGGTTGTATTTTGATCTGCCTCCTTACTCTAGACTTCTCTTTCTGATTCTTAACACATGGCTTTGAGCAATTAGGAGTCTTGGAGTTTTGCTAATTTTTGGCAGGAAGCATCGTGATGTGATTGTTGCCTGAAGAGTTTCGGGGCTAGTATGCACTGTATTCGGATTGGAATGTGTATATATGAGTGATCCATGAAACTGCAAGGTGTGGGGTTTCTCTCTCATTTGAGCCCAAGATCATATTAATATCAAATGATGAACATAATTTAGTTCACTTTTCTTTCAAAATTATATTGTTCTTCCTTCGTCAATTCTCTCTTACATTTTTTTTGCATATTGTTTTCTGCACGAGGTAAACACAAAGACAGGGTACCCTTTCCTTATCAAGAGGTGGGAACCTTGCATCTGTAAGTTTATATTGTCTAGTTACATCCACAGCATTCAGTACTCGTACTTGTGCTCACCATTTACCGTTTATTCCAAGGGTGCTCCTGTTCGATTATCTCTGTTTCTCGATTGAAGAGCTCTGGTATTTGTTCAATGTGACCCAAAGTAGAGAGATCATGATGAGTTCTGGTGAGTTTGAATGCGGATTTTAGTTGACATATAATGTTTATTTTACCGTAACCTAAATTTTCCGTATCGCCAGCATCGTAGAATGACGATTTGGAGGCAGTTGTTGTGATGTTTAGAAGCTACATCCGAGGGTAACTGCTAACATGGTATAGGACTGCTCGTTATTCCCAAACAGACTGCGTTCTGCATTACTCTTTTTGCAAAATACGCAGGTTGCATTATGGTCTCTGGGTTTGTGCCGGCGTTCTGTAATGGCAGCTGAATCTCGGGTCTTTATATCGTCAGTGAGTTCGTTTTGTTTACATCCTTGTCCTTGGATAGCCATTTGATACCTGCAATCTCTGGCAATCTCATTGTGTACAGATTCTGTGAGGATTCTCTTCTTGTTCCTGTCACTGTCAACTTTTTAAATCCGTTTCTCAATTTTCAACCCCAGACCTTAAACATTAGACACTTTCTCCCCGTGTGTACGGGTCTCTTTTTACCTCCACCAATCAGAGCTGCTGCATCCTATTTACCTTATGTTCCTTTTTATAAGAGTCTTATGTCTCTGATTTCTGATGTTAAATGGGTCTGAGTTGCAGTACATACATGTGGAGATTAAGACAACGTTTCGTTTGCAGTGCCATGTGCTTCATGTTTGGCAGTGGGACTTAGCTATGTAAAACGGACGTGGTCAGTGTAGATTTGCTTGCTGTCTGTAAGCTAAGCTTCGATACTGGTCGAGAAAAAGGGTGATATATAATCGTCTTCGTGGTACTGTTGCCGGGATACGACTTATATCCGCACATAACATCATCTTTTGTTTGCTGCTCTTTGTATTTTTTTTTTCTAAACTAGCAAATGCCAGGATTTGCCGGAGATCCTTTGTTTGAGCAGTGGCAAAAAAAAAAACAAAGATGAGATGGAAAGGTACATTGAACTTTGATTCTCAAGTTGGAGTTATGGCCTATTATCCAAAGTTTTAGGTTTAAAACAGATTCTCTGTCTTGTCTTGTGAAACCTAATGCGTTTAAATTCTAATTTGCAGTAGCATTTTTTTTTTGTTTCTAATGCAAAGCATTAGTTGTTTACAAATAAGCTTGGTGTTGGGAATGGTGGAATCCCATTTTGGCTCTTAAGGCACAGATATCAGTAGGATCTTGCATCTCTATACAAACAATAGATAGTTATGTGTACTGTTATATTGTGAACGCTCCAGTTTATGGTTAATGTGATTAGTATCGTATAGAAGAAGAGATTGAGCGTGTGTGGAGGCCGAGAGTGATGGATCTAAGCTTTAATGTGTTGGCAATCATCACCCATCTGGCTCTGGCACCTGCATGACGCAGATTAGCCATCGAAAGATATTGATAGATCAAGTTCACAATAAATCTTATTGATCATGCGCGGCTTTAACAGATTCGTTTCAAATGTTTGAGATCGAGGGTTGATGCCATGCGCTGCCGTGATGATCGAGGAAAAGAAGACAGGAGAGAACATTGTAACTGGCTGGACTTGCACCTGGGTTTTAAAGACTTGGTTATGTAGCAGCAGCAGATTCACAGAGAGGTGAGTTTTTGTCGTGAAGAAAGCAGCAGCTCCCTTGCTAGAAGGCCGTGGGCGTTTCAGATCCGGAGTTTAGTCCCGACTGAATCGATCCGATCCGATCGAGAGCGCAAAATAATCCGAACTGATAACATTTAGTTCTAATTCAGTACAATTTTTTGTGGAAATGAATGAATTGTTTTGTAATGGAATTCGAGAAGTATTTAAGTTATGTGTGCATTTATGTGTTAATATCAAGCTTTGAATCGAACTGCCATTAAAACCGGATTGAATTAAACCTGGTCGTAGTTTGGTACAAATTTTATAAAACTGAATAAATTTCGTTCAAATCACAAATATTGGAAGAAGTCCGAGACGCTCACCCTACTTGCCACGTGTGTAAACAGTTGTCTGTGGACCAAATTATATGAACTTTTCTCCTAATCTTGGGAATATTCGAAAACAACCCCATACTTTCACCAGCTTTTGTTTTTGCTTCCACAATATATTGTTTTTATCAACTTGGCCCTTTTATGTTCAAACATGATAAAAACGCCTTTGTCATGTAGCTTTTTGTAGATAAAGAGAGGGGATTCGGGGCAGAGAGGGAGAGAGAAAATGGAGGGAGTAGCTGTGGTTGGTGGATGGAGTCTCTCTGTTTCTCCGCCTTTCTCTTCCTCATCGCCGGCGAGAGCTCCGGCGGTTCGATGCTCATCCTTCTCTCCCGCCAAAGTTAGTCTGCGTTCCCAGTCTCACTTGGCCGCGTTTCGTCCCCACTTCCATCTTTTCTCGCGCCATTCGCCGTGTCGCCGCCTCCTTCGCGCCTCCTGCTCCGCCGAGCCTGGAATCTTCCTCCCTCACCTTGTAGCTTCCATGGTCCGTTCTCTCTCTCGCGTCTGTGTGTACTGATACGCTTAGACGTGTACATTCATTTATTTTCTTCAGGGTACAAGGTTCAGTTTTCCAATTTCACCCTGTAATTGATGAATTTAAGATCGGATTGAGGAAATTCCTGCTTAAATTGTGTCAAATTTTACATAAGTTAGGTGAAATGTGTTGTTATTTCCGATGTTTTGATCGTTGTTATCAAGTTCTGCATGGTTTCAGGAGCAAGCTGAGGAGACTTACATTATGGTGAAACCCGACGGCGTACAACGAGGCCTTGTAAGTTCCGATGCTTGAGGTTCTGTCTTTTTAATCAGTTTCTTCCGTTGGATTATCTAGTTGTTTTTTTAGAAGAAATGTATGGAAGCTCTCAACATAATACATTTGCTTTATATTAGTGATATCCGTTTCTTCTGCGTCTTAGGTTGGAGAAATCATCTCGAGGTTCGAGAAGAAGGGATTCAAGCTTACGGGCCTGAAACTATTCCAGTGCCCGAGAGAGTTAGCTGAGGTATCATCCATTTCCATTGTTGTTTACCGCATCAGTCTAGGTATCATCAGTATAGATCCTTAAATCTCTGTATGCTTGTTGAGAAGTACAATAGAGAATCGTGTGAATGAGTTAATCCGATGTTGTTGAGGAATACTGCTGATCCCGGTTGGCCTGTTTTATCAGATTAAAGTAGCCTCCTTTTTTTTATCAGGCAGAAGGGAATAGCAAATCCCTGGATATGAGTTGGCATAAAGATTCTTCTGTTTTATATTTCCAGGAGCATTATAAGGATCTTAAGGCGAAGCCATTCTTCCCTAAACTGATTGAGTATATTACTTCAGGCCCAGTTGTGTGTATGGTACGACATTTAATCTTTTCCTTTCACTTTTCTGCATTTTTGTTTACCGGAAGGTCACAAGTTTGTTCATGATATTTATATATATGCAAAGGCTTGGGAAGGTGTTGGTGTTGTTGCTTCAGCGAGAAAGCTAATAGGGAAAACCGATCCTCTTCAAGCTGAACCTGGCACCATAAGAGGAGACCTCGCCGTTCAAACTGGAAGGTTTGGACCCTGACCCCTTGAAATGGTAGGAAAATAAGTAATTTAACAGACTCTCATGGTTTGACATCACTTCCTCTTTGCAGGAACATTATCCATGGTAGTGATAGCCCTGAAAACGGCACGCGTGAGATTGGTGAGATTTCTTGCTTCTTCTTTGTTCATGTTTAACCATTGATATCTTCAAAAATGACAATTTTGGGGTTATATGGGGGTTTGTTTTTGGAATTCAAACTGTTTGCCTTCAGATTGTTTTCAAAGGTGGTGAATGATAACATGATTATTTTGGATTGTACTACTTGATCATGGTCGTTTTTCCTTCAAAATTTCAGAAAGGTCTTGTGTTTGTTTTGTATCTGTTTCTGTTGAATTTCATCTTCATGAAAATTCATTTCAGACATTGACTATGTTTGACCAAGTATGCGTCTGATCAACGAGGATTGTTGACTTTATTAAGCCTTGTTCCAGTATTCAAACCTCTTTGGTTTTGTTTCAAACTTCAGTTTGCATCATATTGAACATCGATCTTTGTTTCTGAAGCAAATTATTTATGAATGTGTTGCATCTGCTGACATTTTCGTGAATTCGGTTTTGGGACAGCTCTATGGTTTAAAGAAGGTGAACTGTGCGAGTGGGAACCAGCTCTGGCGTCATGGCTAAGGGAATGAACCCTCTTGGGAAGACATTTCAGTTGTTTCTCGATCTCAGAGTATTTCTTCTCTTTAACTTCTTTATTACTGAGCCTCAACCGGTCTTTTCCTCTTGATTATGGACGCTGAAATGCTATTTTGCAGGTTCTGATTTCAGAAATAAAATGATTACATTGTTTTCCCGTTGTTTTAGTTAATATATAGCTCGATTCAAAACTCTCCTTTGTCTTTGAGGCCTCGGGAACATCTCCCATTAAAATGGTCAATCTGATAATCCCTTTATAGTGAACTTTCCTGCATACTATTCAACTTTTTCTCATTCTAATAGATTGTGCATATTTAAACTCTATTTAGAAGGGAATAAGATAGGTTCATTTCTGGTATTAGGTCAGGCGAATCCAATGAACGCCCAGAGAAAAGTTCTGGGTATCTTCCTTTGGCTGATAAAAAGATAAGTGATGTAGCTTGTTTCTACATATTCCATCTCCTTTCGCCTTACACTATGAACTTTCTTACATATGGTTGTACAAAAAAGGTTGAGCTGTTGTCGTTATTATCTAGAGGTCACGTGTTCGAGTCCTGAAAGCAGCCTTTGCAGAATAGTCTGCAAGGTAAGGTTTTGTGATGGGATCCTTCTCCGAGCTCCACTCAATCAGGATGTTTTGTGCACGGACTGTTTTTTGTTGTACAAAAAAAAAAGGAAAGGTTGAATACATAATATATTCCGGTCTCTGCGAGACCCTCAAACTCGAGCATTTTTCAGTCCTTAGGCTTATATCCTCTTACAGAACAGGTCGAGCACTTATGTGTTGTTGTTTTGAGCCTGAACCCGAGTCTATCAGCTGCCTTTGGATCTTGGCGGTGGTGGTTTTTCTTTAGAGGTTGGCTACTTGAGTAGAGGAATCCCGAGATTGGGATTTATCCAACTGATGGTTTATCTTCGGAGGTTGGTTACTTGAGAGATAGATTACACCGTTGGGATCCTTATCTTTTCCTCTGGATGCTGTTATAATGTAGATTCTTGTGTTCATTTTGCCAAGAGATGAGAATTTTCCGACAACATTTTCTGTAACGGTGGAAACACTTGGCAGCCAGTTTGATCGTGCGGTTAAGATTTGTAAAATTTCTTTTCCCTGCAAGATCTCCGACCATGGCAATCCGATACATTGGGAAAATGTGTCTCTGTATGAACTCGGGATGATGAAAAATGAAGCCTTTATGCAAAGCAAAATCATGCTGCATCTGAGAGTATATTGAAGCAATTTTTTTAAAAAAAAAAATCAAAGACGAATAACGCACAAAACACTAGTTATTATCATACAGCTAACCATGAAGTGCTCCCGTATGCCTGAGGAGGAGGAACCAAAGGTTCAACATCCGACGGTACAGACGTGACGAAGGCCGAGGATGGGGCAGAAATCTCATCACTCCACGCATCCACCACACTGATTTCCACAGCATCCTCCTCCTCGCCGTCTTGAACATCTACCTGCAAGTCTTCCGACGATGAACGGATCCTCTCCAACTCGGTAGAAACTTCTCTCATGCTCGGTCTCTTCCTCCCGTTCAGGTTTAGGCACCTCCTCGCTAGGTTTCCGACTCCCGTTACTTGTTTCACGTCGCAATGCTCTTTGATCCGAGCGTCGATAATGTCAAAGAGCTTATTCTCTTTCATCGTGAGAATGAAATGAGTTGCCAATGTCCTGCTTTCTTGAGTCCGAAGAAGGGAGACTGCCTTTTCTCCGGTTATGAGCTCCACAAGCACCACCCCGAAGCTATAGACGTCGCTCTTGTCGGTAAATTGGCTCGATTGGAAGTACTCGGGATCTACATACCCGATAGTACCTGCCACTACCGTTGTCAGATGGGTGTGATCCACTGTTACCGATCTTGAAGTTCCAAAGTCAGATACCTTGGCTCGATATTTCTCGTCCAACAATATGTTTGTAGACTTGATATCTCTGTGATAAACTGGAGAAGATGCCGCCGAGTGCAAGTAGGAAAGAGATCCTGCGATCTCTGTGGCAATGCGTAGACGGACCTCCCAAGTCATCGTGTAATCATCAACAAATCCATTGTGAAGATATTCGAAAAGGTTTCCATTGGGGACGAACTCGTAAACCAGGATAGGAACCTCTGTCTCGAGGCAACACCCTAAGAGTTTCACGATGTTTCGATGGTTTACTTGCGAGAGAATGACAACCTCGTTGATGAACTCTTCCAGTTTGTCCTCGTCCACGACTTTCGACCTCTTGACCGCAACAATCCTCCCATCCACAAGCATTCCCTTGTAGACGGTGCCCTGACCACCCTGTCCGAGCACCCTTTTTACGCTGAAGTTTTCCGTGGCTTTCTCCAACTCATTTGAGCTGAATATCTTCGTTTTCTCGATGTTGCCTTCTGTTGCGGTTAGTTGCTGCTGTAGCAATAAACCCCCGTTGCGTTTGAAGAACCTCTTCATCCGGTTTATCTTCTTTTGCTTCTTGATAAATTTGTACAACCACCATGCTCCGATGGCTAAAAGCAATACACCAAAACCTACACAAACACCTACATAACACGAAAATGGTATTGATAATCAGAGAACTCGCTAAAAGCTTTAACCGTAAAAGGATATGTACGATGCAAGCGAAACCAGGCGACTAACCTACAATGATCGGCCACGTTTTCTTCTCCTCGCATGAGTAGTACCCGGGGTGGTTCACACAGCTCTTTCCCCGGCAGTTATCGCGTACTTCTACCGTGTTTTCCTCACACTCATTGATATCTAAATCGAAGAATAATCGAATTTTAGAGCAGATTCCCGAGGCTTGCAGATAGTGAAAAAAAGAAAGTTTAGAGAAAACATCATCTTACCACTGCATCCACTTGAAAGGTATGGGTTGCCTTTGTAACCACTGTTGCAGCTGCAGCTTCTATAACTGCGCCCGAAAGAGTAACCGTATAAACAAATGCAACCGTTTGCGGCACTATAACCTCTGGCTTCTGTCACATTTAAGCAACTTGCAGAGTTTACAGACACATTATCCGACATATCAACGAACCATCCTAATTCTACCGTCGCTTGTCCCTTGGAGTAGAGCAGTTCCGGCTGAGTTATGTTCGACGGGGAATATGCCTCGTCGGTTAAAAAGGCAACTCTGCAGGTCTTTCCCGTTATGTTACCATCGACGTCCTCTATTCTAACACCAATTAGCTGAAGACTAGTCGCTATTCTTGCCTCGCAACATCTGTAACCATTGCAGCTCGTGTTCTGTCCTCTCGCAGCGAATCTTACATCGCAGACAGACTCGCATCCTCCGATCTGTGGCTCGACGTTCGTCATCACGGCCTTGTTGTTGCAACCAACGGCTACGAGGCTATTCCTGGTGGTGAGGAAAAAGGGGCTACCCGTCACATCCAAAGTCGAGCTAAATTCTTCACCATCAGAACAGCCGGAGGATGTTATCGGAGCTTTGATGCGGACCGATCCAAAATTAGAGGAGAAACCTCTCTCGAGAGAAATATTCACAACTTCCCTGTTCATCCTAGAAAGGAACGGGGCGGGATTCCCGGAGGTGCTGTTGCAGACGATTTCATACCACTCGCTGAGGTAGCAACCCTTCCCGATCCCAAAGGGATACGGAATCGTTATTCCTCCGCATTCGCTACGGCAATCACTCGAAAACGAGAGCTCTGGAGCAGTTGTTGCTGCAGAGAAACGGAACAGCAGAGACAGCAAAGAGAGTAGGATACACAGAGAGTAATTCCCTCTGCTCATTTCGCAGCTCATTGTAGTTACGCTTTTTACTCTTTCCGAGTTGTGTTTTTATAGGAAGAAGGCGAAGAAACATCATCTCAGACGCCTCTTTGGACCTCTTCCACTGGCTGAAGCTTCTTTCATGGAAGAAATTTCAGACAATGTTATTATTACGTGTTCTGACAATTCAGAGGGACAAAAAGGTCTAACGATGTCTCCATCTTAGGCTGAAATTTCTCCCAACAGCGACGGAAACACAAATTTCTAACAGCATGTTCTAAGATATTTTGGAACCCCTCTTTGGATTTTCAAATCTTGAGAAGGGAAATGATCAGATCAGAAAGATTCAGAAAATTCGCAGAATCAAGAACAAGAAGTGTACTTTGTCCAGTCTTAGAACAACCAACGATGAACAGACCCTCGGAAAGAAAACAGCTGAGATCGATGGGAGACGATTCAGAAGCACGATCATTAAGACGCAGAGATTTGCAGAGCAAAGACCACAGATATGGATCGCTGAACATGAAAAGGCTTTCATTCAATTTCAGCGCAATCGGCTGACGAACGATTTCAACTCTGGGGGCCCCGAGAGCACAGCTCAGAGGAGGAGGAGGAAAAAGCCCTCGTTTCTAATTTTAACATAGATTTTGGTTCCATAAACACCCAAACATATATAGAGAGAGAGAGAGAAACCATGGCGGTCGAACTTGTAAGGGAAGACTACATTGATGTTCTGACCAGAACCGGCGAGACACGTGACGCAAAAGATTCCTATTTGGCTCTTGTTTTCATTCTTTGACTGCATAGCTACAAAACCCTGTAAATCGATGAGATGAGATATCCGGTCGAATCCTTGTCCGTACGGTGAAAGTTTCGGCATTTTGTTGGAAATTTCTACTGGGAATATTGGTTCGAGGTCGAAACCGACCCAAGCTTGCCCGACAAATGACCAGGATCGGGCTTAAATTTGTAGACCCCAAAAAAGTCGGAATTTTAGGTCGGATTCAAATCGGGATTCGGGCTTGATTATCAACCCCAGTGAAGGTTGAGTTGAGATAAAATAGCCAATGCACATTCTCTGTCACGGCCCGAAAAATCTAAAACGCTCATACATAGAGTGGAGACATTTGGTTCACGAAGTGTTTTTACTTGTACGCGGCTTTGCACTCATCAGTGGGGATGGTGTGGCCACCACCAATGTCGACCGGCCGTAAAAAGGTCATGAGATGCCGGACGGAGGGGACAGGGGAAATCTCATTTCTTTTCCCTTTTAGAAAAACTTTTTATTTTAAAATTCGGATTTAGTTTGATTATTGATAAAGATATCAACTTTTTTTTAGCTTTAAAAAAAAAATCATATATCTTTTCTAGACTTTTATATCCTACTTGGGATACGGATACAGTATTTCATTCTGACCGCCAAATTGATATATGAAAACCACGGAAAACGACGATTGACATTTAACACCACAGGGGCCATAATTTCTTGTATGCAACAACACAGAAAGACCCATGTTTATCATCCATTCCATCTTGAGAGGTTGTAATCTATATGGCCAAACATGAGAGAGAATGGAATTGGGCATAATCATGGAAACGAAACTCTAGTTAATGGACATTGGAGTTGGGAAGTTTGATAGATGTCACCTTAGAGAACTCTGAGCTAAATCCGATGTTGTCCGGACCAATGCTGTTTCCGGCAGAGGATTCCAAAGCTCGGGAAGTTTGGAGGGCCATCTCCGAGTGAAATCGGAGACATGACATTGCCATCTGTTACCCCGACAAATGAAAAGGTTATTCTTGTCGAGAATTTAAAAGCATTCATGAAAATGCAAATGAAATATAAATTATATTAACAAAATTAATAACGTTTTACACCAAATGAAACGGAATGCATTTGAAAATTTTCAAAATATGGTTTTCCTTGAAGATGGAACAGAAAGCTTCTATGGCGGCTGAAACATGAAACGTGAAATAGCGATAAGAAATATAGGGAATATGTATGGAACTGAAATTTTCCCGACTAGCTTCTACGACCCCAGAAGACAACGATCCTAGAGCATATATGGTATTGGGTGTCAAAAGTTACAAAACCCATGCTCTTTCTCAAACCTAACCCTAAATTCAGCAAATGCAGATTTGTTATATTTTCTTGTATACCAGCCAAGAATATACTTCCACTGGCTATAAGCTGCATCTACACGCAAGCTTAGAGAGCATTGCATTTAGGGACTGTATGATTTACCGTGTAACATTCTCGATCGATGTCTGAATCGACTAAGTGAAGGGCCCACGTTCTTATCCATTCAAGGCCTTTGAGAAGTTCAACATTTCCCTCAGCCAAGGCTGATACCACGAAAGACGGATGTAGAGCAACCAATACAGACGAGGCTGCAAAAAGGACTGCCTTTCTCACATATGCTTCCGGGTGGTTGCATACTTCCCTTCATGAAGTTAGACAACAATGGTTAGGACAAAATCTACGGATGTAGATATCGCAGCTTTTTAAATTATCGGTGATCAGAGATCTACCAAAACTGGGCACTAATGGTCAGGCTCAGATTCTACAAAAAGCAACTGTTCTAAAAACAAGGGAAGAACATATAAAGATATTGCAAAATAGCGAAAAGAAAAGTGAAAATTAAGGCATTATATGTGATGAAACTTTTGCTGTATGTATGCTTCTGAATTTATATATAAGAGATATTCTAAGCATGTATAATGTCAGTCATTTCAGGAGAGAAGTCATGCAGTACCTCCGTTGTAACAAGTCTAGAAGAAACGTAGCTAATGCAGATGCTTCCGGATGCATGGATGCACAATTCATACAGACACCGAGCATGTGGAGAAGTTTCCCGAGGACCACATAATCCTGGCCGAGTAAGTCGACACCGTGTCTTTTCCTGTCAAACTCCTTCATGGCTGGGAGCATAAATGCTGCGGCATATAGAGGGAACCTATTTTGGGACCATTCCACATCACTTTGATCTCTATCTGCGGATTTGAAGCTCCACCTCCGGGTTTTCCCCTTTCTGATCTGACCACGTTTTGGCTGAAGTTCTCTCTCGAATCGGTTTGACCAGTTTAGAAGAAAGGGCCCTGTTTCTGAGACTTCTTTCCAAGGACCAGCCCCGGGAGTAGTTGAATTGCTAGGCAAGTACCAAGGTTGAGGATCCGAGATAGATGATATCAGAGGTCCCCTTGCTTGGTGTTTTGGTTTCAGCGTCCTGGAGTTAGCAAGCTCTTGAGCTGCTTCAGTCATGACATCGAGCACCATTATGCGCTGGCTAACGTCGACATTGGGCGAATACAGAAGATTGTTCAGAGTTTCGAGGGATTCTAGTGGACGGGTTACAAGCAAGGCGATTAGAGCTCTTTGCCGTTTCTCTTCTGTTGATTCTTCTTCACCTTCTACAGCTACATCAGAGCAGCGAACCTGTACAAGGGTTCTAGCAAGATCACCAGCTATATGAGCAAGTTCATCAGGTGATGCTCGGATGAGTTTCTCTGCAACATCTATAGCCTTCTCCACCTGAAACACCGAAAAATGCATAACAGTGATCAGAGTGTTAGACCATAGCAATTCCTGCAATTAAAGTAGGATTGAGTACGGAAACCTATGTACAATTAGATGAAGAAATTTATGTAATTTGTTACGTATCACCTGCCTATAAATACAATGTATCACCTATCATTTTCTGTCGCTTTATTAAAGACATGAAATTCTGATTTATTAGTCACATCAAACACAAGGCAACAGTATATACTCCAAGAAGCGGTCAAAACCCCCTTCTGAGCATAGTAGACATTTAGCTCCAGGGACTTACCCCATCAGCATCATCAGTTTTCCGAAGAGCTCCAACAACATCCACCAAGTGTGTAAATTTTCTCCCTAAATCCTTATCATCATCTGTTAGATCGTATGGCTCCAAAGAAGTGTCACTTGAAGTATCAGAATTGACGCTTGCATCATCGTCATCACCACCATCATCTTTATCAGAGTCAGTTTTGCAGTTTAATGATGCCAAATCGATGATTTCATCTGGGTTAACCAACACATATTCAGATATTTTCTTGCTCCTCTTGCCCTTTTTGTTTTCTTCATTTTTCTGACTCAAGTCATTACTATCCTCCTTTTCCGTTGAACTTTCGATGGACTGAGTCCTCTCAGTCGTTTTAAACCCAAATTCCCAGTCAATTGTATCCTCATTGATGGTATCATCTAGGCAGAGAGGATTCTTTGGGTCAATTACTTTAGAGAATACAAAAGCAACAGAGCTTGCCATTCTCCTAATCAGATCTGTCGGGCTCTCCAGTCTACCTGCAGCAATAAGTGCAAAAGTTAGGAGCAGAAAAAGCAAATTCTTCACACAAAAAACCAACAAAGAAATGAGCTATACAACTAACTCCTTGAAGAATACTGGGCATTATGTCCTTCGTCCTATCTAGTTGTTCCCTTGACATTTTCTCTAGGCAAAGCCCGAGAGCTGCGGTTACATCTGCAGCATATAGTGAAGGAGAAATGGTATTTGAAAGGACTAGAACCACAGTCAGAACAACAAAACACTGCCTCAAAATTATAAATATGTAGAACGGAAGAGGACAATCCTAAATTTTTTGAATTATCAATGCATGAAAAGCAAATTTAAAAGCAACAAAAGGATACAAGCTTGCTGCTCTAATGGAACGGACTGCAGAAATTCCCTTTTTGACCAGACTGAGGCTAGTCGCTGTGTTGTTTCTAGCAGTCCACAATCACCATCACCTTTAGCAAGTGAACTAGCCACTGGTGGCAATTCAAGAACTGAAAATTGCAAGATCCATCGCAGACAGCAGATAGGAAACACTTTCCACAACAAAAATTTGTCAACAAACATAGACCTGTGGAGGCAAAACTATAAAGACTTGAGTTTTAAAAATAAAGAAACTATGGAGGGAGAAACCAAAAGACAACCTACTAGCCTACTACCTATTTCTAGAATAACAATATACATCATCACTCAAGTTTCACATCCATTTTCGTCTTACCATTTATTCAATCTGACATGCAAGGGAAAAATCAGGGAGTTCAAAGGAATCTAGCACTAGGACTGAGTTGGTGATAGGAAAATGATTTGATTGGCTTGCCTTGCTGATGCCTGATGTTTTACAATGCTGTGAAACAAAGTCCAGATTGTCCAGAAAGCTTCAATGTCACTTGCATGCTCAGAGTGTAACTGATGAAAAAGCTGCTCAGCTATTCTCTCGACAGCAAATGGGTCGGTAATTACTTCCATAGTTTTAGACCAAATCTGGAATGCAGGGTCCATCTCAAATACCTCAACATCAACTAATTCCTTCGTTGAAGTTAATAACCTTCTAACATGTTTTAAAACATGGGGAGTTACTTCACTTAGCAGCAAATCTGCAAATTGAAAATAATTTCCAAAGTCAAACCATTAGTTTGTTTTGTGGTATTACTTCACACAGTACGTATCTCCACTTCATCAAGGCCCAATTGGCCTATAATACAGTAGCATCAATACAAAATTATGCAACTGATTTCATTTCTTTCTCCGGGCTATCAACAGAGGACCAAATTTAAATGCTTGCAATTGCCAATTGCAGGCAATATATAATGGCATATACATGTAGACAAGATATTTCAGAGCTCAACGAAACAAAAATACACTGGAAATTACTTGGATACAGTGATAGATTGAGCAGTTTAGTTCTCAGAATATTTACTATACCTGAAGATCCGCGCCGACAAATGCGGGAAAATATCTCCCCAACAAATGACAAGATACAATATGTGCTGTCAGTCTCCAACTGGGAAGCCATCTCATCCAATGTCAAAAGGAGCTGAACGGTAATTTTCTTGAAATAGAAGCTTTAGGAGTCAAGAGAAAGACAAACAGTGCACTGAAAGAATTTCAAATGTAACTAACTACTCGCCAGAAGGTTTAGGTATGCAACATTGAAAGTCAAATTACCGGAGAGCATGTGAACATAGGAAAAAGGATACTGTGATGTAAGCAAAGGCGGAGCTTTCAGCCGTACTTTGTCAGGAATGGATGTCACAATCTGCGACAACCCGGACATGAAAGCCTTGATACTTCCTTTTCCTAAATTATCTGACTGATAACTATCACGAAGTTCTCTGGCCATCTTGCGGACTCCATCATTTTCAAGCAAACATAATATAAGCAATCTGTCATCGAAGCAAAATGACATTACCCAGGCCATAACTTCATCATCTATATCATTTCACAAAATAAATAAGATTGGCCATGACCACTAGAATAAGCTTCATGAATTACTCTCTTTTTTCTTTCTAGAAAACATTCAAGATATAGATACAAGTCAAGAAAGCAAAAAAGCAAAGCTAAGAAAACCACTGATATTGAGATATGCATCTGAAACAGGCTGTCCTTGGCCATAAAGTTCCATGCAAATGAAATTGTCAAGAAAGCAGAACATTGCTGCTTAGGACATTCATAAAGCGTATTATATGTATTCACGGTATGCATATATATATATATATGAAGCAAAGACTTCAGAAATCAGAGCTGAAGAAAAATGTATCATCCACACTAAGGTATCATGCAACATAATATTGTAGAGAATCTAGAGATAGCAGAGGATTTAACATTACTAGCCACACAGAAGGGTCTCAACAAACGGACAACAACAAAGATTAAAAAATATGTATCTCAGCACCTTTCCACATTGGACTGGACAGAATTGGAATCGATGCCACTGGATTCCACCCGCTGTAGGAATGGAACCAAGACCTGAACAACCTCAATAGCAGGTCCATCAAGGAAGAACACATCATACAAATGTCTCTGCACTGAAATCGGGAAACAGGAGAGCCAATCCGAGGCAACATCTGCATAGAACAATGATAAAGTAAGCATATACAACCCAAAATCGACAAGAACAAACACAATCAGAACCCAAGAAAAGCAGAGGAGCAAAATACTATTGCTTAAGAAGCCAAGTCAACTAAATCAGAACAATTTTCCTGTTCCATTCCATCATCTTGACAACACTCCAAAGCATGTGAAAAAAGTTACCGAGCAACAAAACCCTAGCCAATGTCGGAAACGCAGCTCTTCTGTAGAATGTCTGCCACCAATTATTTCTCTCAGTTGCAGAAGGAACCACAGAGCTACAGACCTGTGTAAGCAACCAAAGACAGAACCATAGGTCACCAACAGGTTTCTGGATTCAAGGAATTCAAATTCCGACAAGGACAAGAAACCACAAACCCTTTCTCGGTACTCCTCACTAATGCTCCCTGCGATTCCATGGAAAATATTTCAATGAGCTTCGAAAGAACCAAATAGACTACAAATTGGAAACAGGAATGAAGCCAAGTTCGAAATCAGAAGAGAACGAAAGACGTAGAGCAGTGTTGATTACCGGAAAAAAGAGATGGGTCGACCGGAAAGAGAAGGACGGCGACGGAATGAAGAGCACATATCACCTGGTCAACATGCTTTGCTTCACTAATGGCGGAGATGCCTTCTCCGACCTTGTCAAGCACGCCTTTCTCCAGTTTCCTTTCCTG